GACTGAGCGGTGTGAGAGTGGTGCAGTTTCGAAAGAAGGAGCGGGAAGCACCCGAGTCAAGGGTGAAGGTGTGGGTGTCCGGGGACGACGCAGCACCTGAGAGCGCAAACTCACCGGCACCTGGGGCAGCAGACGCACTGGCACCTAGAGCAGCAGCCTCACAAGTACCTAGCGCAGCAGCCTCTCTGCCTGGGTCAGGCGGGAAACACCGGTAACAGTCACCCTCATCACTAATAGTCACAGCATACATGGCAGCAAGAATAGCATCAAAATCAAGATCATAGATTGCAACACCCGCCCTAGACAGCTCGCCCCAGCGAGGGATCTCAGTAGCGTCGGGGAACTGGTGGCGCCACGCGTCTGTCAGACGACCGAAGCAGCGCTGGGTGGGGTGCGCGCCCCCACACTGCTCACCCGCCCGGTCGCCGGTACGGAGAACGTAGGTACAGGGGCCAGCACCCCTGCCCCGCTGACGAGCAGCGTACCAGTCACGAAGCTGCTTGGGGGAAGGGGTCTCACGGGTACGCTGCTGCTGCTGCTGCTGGCGCGCACCACCACCGGAGCCACCCCTCTGCGCAGCGCCACCCCGACCAGCTCCGCCGCCTCCGCCGCTACCTCCTCCACTACCGCCACCTCCGCCACCTCCGCTCCCACCGCCACCGCCGCCTCCACCTCCACCTCCAGTCCCGCCACCGACGCCCCCACCCCCGCCACCACCCCCACCGCCACCCCCACCCCCTCCACCACCTCCACCTCCGCCTCCACCGCCCCCGCCAGCTCCTCCAGCACCCTTGCCCCCCTTGCCCTTGCCAGGGCGGCGTCTCCCGCTAGGGGCAGACGCCGCAGCGACCGACTCAAGACCAACGAGGTCGGCCGCAGCAACAGAGGCAACAGAGGGCAAGAGGGGAGAGGGGGAGCACCCCTCAAAGACAGGGGTACGAGGGTCACCACGAGAGGCACCTACTGCGACTATGCTCTTCTCTGCCGCAAGCAGGCGCTCCTCGAGGAGGTCAACGGTGAGGGTGGTGGGGCAAACAGAGAGGAAGTGGTCCCTAACCGGGCGAAGGGTGTCAGGGAGCCGGGTGACTATGTAGTAGAGGGTGATGTACATGGGGGGGGGGTTCTTGGCGCAGAACTCAGCAGGAAGCGCAGCGCGGTAGTGAGTGTCACTAGTGCGAAGGTGCGTAATGAGGTCAGGGACAGTGGGAAAAGCGGCGAGGTCAGGGAAGAGGTACGGTAGGATGAGGCGGCTAAGCGCAGCAGTGGCAGGGGAAGAGTAGCGTGCAACTACAGCGTCGTACAAGGTCTTAGCACTCTTGTACTGGCTAAAGTGCGCACGCTCAACGGTCGGCAAGTGGCGGCGCACAGTAAGGCGGGCAGCAGCATCGCGCGTGGCCCACTGAGAGCGAACAGTGGGGTCAGCATCAGCAGCAGGGGCAGGAGAGGCACCAAAAGTGAGGTCAAAGAGGGAGAGACCGTCTGCAGTAGCTCTGTCTGCTCTGTCGCTCAGTAGGAAAAGCTGCAGGTCATCTACCCAGACGTCAAAGTCAATGGCCCGACCCTCAGCGTCAAAGGTGAGGACACTGGGGTAAGCCATGACAGCAGTAGACGAGCAGTGAGAGCAGCAGGCAAGGGCAGAGCAGTGGCGGAGGCGCTGCTCTTACCGGGCAGGCGAGAAGGACCGAGGCGCGCCGGCGGGAACAGGGCCACGACGGCAGGAACGGCGGCTCGGCGGCTCGGCAGCTCGGCGGCACCGGCGACTCGGCGGCTTCTGCAGCTCAGCGGCAGCGTCGGCTCGGCGGTGCGGCGTCGTGGCGGCTCGGCTGCTCGGCGGGGCCGCGAGGGTGTGGCGACGGGGCCGCGAAGGGCAGCGGTGGGGTCGCACGGGTGTGGCGACGGGGTCGCGGGCGGCTGCGACGACCGGGGGCGCGGGCGGCTGTGGCGGAGTCGCGGGCGGCCGCGGCGACGGGATCGCAGGCGGCCGCGGCGGCAGGGACGCGGGCGGCTGCGACAGCAGGGCCGCGGGCGGCTGCGGCGACGGGGTCGCGGGCGGCCGCGGCGAAGGGGTCGCAGGCGGCTGCCGCGACGAGGCCGCGGGCGGCGCGAAGGGCGACGGGGCCGCTACGGGCGGCGGTGGGGTCGCGGGCGGCTAAGCCGCGAGGGGCGACGCCGGGGTCGCGAGGGTGGGGCCGCGGGGTCGCGAGGGTAGGGCGACGGGGCCAGTGGAGGCGGCGCCGGGGCCGCTAGGGCGACGCGACGGGGCCGTAAGGGCGGCGCGACGGGGCCGCTAAAGGCAGCTAGAGGGGAGCGCGACTCGGGCAGGGGCGGAGGGCGCCCGGGGCAGGAAAAAAAAAGGTTGGTGGGCCCTAAGAACAGTTCCCACGAGGGAACCTGCTCTGATACCATGTGAAAAGTTAGAACGAGAATGGGTGCATTGAGCAGCATGAGGAGTACAAGTACCAAACCCTAGAATGTTGTACCCCATATGAGCTACCCCACTACAGCCTACACAGACTATAGTGTATAAGTTTGACACATGCTCTGCACCAACTTGAAGCACATACCAATTGACTGGAAACTCGAAAGAATGCCCACCGCAAAACTGTGATACTCGCCTGGTGATATTTACCTGCGAAAAAAAGTGTATTTCTTCTCGCGTGTGCGTTTTGCGACAATCACGATGTAACGTTCTGCACCGCACAGAAACGTTCTTAGTATTAATTTATTGTTCACAACCTATCCGCGTCTCCGACTTTTTCGATATATATTTGTTTCTTGACCGCGAAAAAAACCAGCTATTTGCATGACATCATCGACTTTCGTGTCAGCACAGTTCATACAGTGCAGGCGTTTTGCGGAAGGGCAAGTTTTTCGCTCGACCCTAGGAATAGTCACACGCGAAAAGCCCCTCTGTCGGAGGTATAGAAAGCAAGAAATTGAGCTACAAAAACTAGAAATCCGCGAACTCGCCTAGTGAAATCAGCGAAGTTTCCGCGTGTGCACGATTCTTGGGCCAAATATGAGTGCGCGAAGTCCAGATTTCGTAAATTTCATTTTTCACTGCTCGCATGAAGGTAAATCTAAGTATTACAGCAGCAAATTAGGGTAAATCGGGGCTCGTTTTACGCTGGGCAGCTACAAAATCCACGATATCATGTGGGACATTTCCGCAGTTCCGCGTGTCCACAAGTTTTGGTGGAAACAAAAGTGGGAAACGTCCAGAATGTTAGCGCGAAAAATCCACACGAGTGTGAGTCAGCGCAGTGGATACAGTACAATTCGTTCAGCTGAAATCCCGCCGTGCACCCGCGCGAAAATACGTTTCCGCGAATTCCGGGGCAAACACCCAGCAATGTTGTCTGGTTGGGGTGGATTGGTGCAGGTTTGTTACAACCCGGGACAGTGGGGCTAAGGAAAAAATCTCGCGAGTGAATGCAAGCCCAGTCAATTTTCGTGGGAAGAAGGCGTGGGACCGTGACAAGCGGGGCGGAAAGAGAATTTCGATAACACAATTCGTTCGCGCTTACACCCTGTAAAATCGGTTCGGAGTGGAATTTTGAGAGAGGGGGGCGATTTTTATGAGATGCTGCCTCACTTTTCGTTATGATTTTAGAATATTCATTTTCATCTTTATCTGTAACGGGGACCTCACACGGCCGATCACTGGTGTTTCGAGCCGAACGAGGGTGTGGTGTTAGATTATATGCAATGTGTTGGTAGGCTGTAGTGGGGTAGACAATATAGGGTACAACCCATTAGGGTTAGGTACTTGTACTCTTGTTCCTTTTCAATGCACATCATTCTTGCCTAGCATCTTGACATGGTTTCAGAGCAGGAGGTCCCTAGGACCTACCGTTTTTTTTTTTTAGGGCCCACCGTCGCACGCATGCGGTTATCACGCTACCCCGCGCCCTACCCTCGATGCGCCCTCGTTGCGCCCTAGCTGCGCCCTCGTGCGCCCTCGTTAGCGCCCTCGTGCGCCTTCGTTAGCGCCCTCGCGCGCCCTCGCTCCGCCCTCGCGCGCCCCTCGTTAGCGCCCTCGCGCGCCCTCGTTAGCGCCCTCGTGCGCCCTAGCTGCCCGCCGCGCTGCCCGCCGTCGCGCTGCCTGCAGCGCCGCCGCGCTGCCCGTCTCGCTGCCCGTCGCGCTGCCCACGCTGCCCGCCGCGCTGCCCGTCGCGCTGCCCGCCGCCGCGCTGACCGCCGTCGCGCTGCCCGCTCGCCGCGCTGCCCGCTCTCGCGCTGCCTACCGCGTCGCCCGCCCGTCGCGCAGCCCGCTACGCTCGCTGCCCGCCGCGCTGTCCGCCGCGCTGCCCGCCGTGCTGCCCGCTCGGCTGCCCGCCCGTCGCCCTAGTTCGCGCCCTCGTGCGCCCCTCGTTTGCGCCCTCGTGCGCCCGCGCTGCCCACCCGTCGCGCTGCCTGCTGAGTCGCCCGCCCGTCGCGCAGCCCTCTGCGCTGCCCGCCCGCCGCGCTGCCTGCCCGTCGAGCTGCATGCCGCGCTGCCCGCCAGCCGCGCTGCCCGCCGCGCTGCCCGCTACGCTGCCCGCCTCGCCTGCTGCTCCCTGCCCGTGCACCGCCGCTTGCTCCTGCTGCGGCTGCTAGCCTCGCTCTAGCGCATCCCCTCTGCTGCTGCCGCTGCTCTGCTGTGCCCTCACGCCTGAGCTATGGCCTCCATTCGCGTTCTTTCCTTCGATGCTAAGGGCCGTCCCGTGCAGTTCACTTCCTGGCTCGACGACCTCCAGTTGTATTTTATGAGCAATAGCACGGACAATGTCTCCCTCTATGACTAGGCGTCTGGTGCTGCCGCTGCTCCTGCTGCCACAGCCGAGCTTAGTGTACGTTCCCAGTGGCAGACTCGTGACGCTGCAGCTCGCCTTGCTATCCGCAGTCACCTGCCGTTCACTGAGCTAGAGCACTTTGGCGACTGCAAAACCGCTAAGGCCCTTTACGACGCTGTCGTTGCTCGCTACTCCTCACCTGCCACAGCCGAGCTTAGCCGCCTCATGCTGCCTTACCTGTTCCCTGAGTTGTCCACCTTTGCTACAGTCGCCGATCTCATCACCCACCTTCGCACTAGTGACGCTCGCCTGCGTGCCGCCCTTCCCACCGAGTTCTGCGCTAAGAACCCCCCTCCACTGTACTGGACGCTCCATTTCATAGTCACCCGTCTCCCTGACACCCTCAGCTCAGTCCGAGACTACTTCCTTGCCCGCTGTCCCACTGAGCTCACAGTCGCCCTCCTAGAGGAGAAGCTGCTAGCAGCCGAGAAGAGCATTGTCGCTGTAGGTGCTGCTCGTGGCGCTCCTCGCACCCCCGTCTTTGAGGGGTGTTCTCCCTCTCCCCTCGCTCCCTCCTACGCTACTGCTGCTGCTGTTGACCTCCTTGGTGCTGAGTCTGCTGGCGCTGCTTCTGCTCCTGGTGGGAGGCGCCGCACCGGCAAGGGCAAGGGGGGCAAGGGTGGTGGTGGTGGCGCTGGGGGGGGAGGTGGTGGGGGAGGTGGGGGAGGAGGCGGTACCGGAGGGAGCGGTGGCGAGAGTGCTGGTGGGGGTGGAGGCAGCGGTGGGGGCGGGGGCGGCGGAGGGAGTGGTGGCAGCGGTGGCGGCGGTGGCAGCGGTGGTGGCAGTGGTGGCGGTGGCAGCGGCAGCGGTGGCGGTCGGGGCGGCGGTAGTGGCGGTGGTAGTGGTCGGAGTGTGGGCCCCAGCTCGGGCCAGTCCTCGCAGCAGCAGCAGCGTCCTCAGACGACCCAGCAGCTCCGTGAGTGGCTTGCTCAGCGTGGGACGTCGAGAGGCAGTGGTCGCTGTTCCTATGTCATTCGCACAGGTGAACGCAAGGGGCAGAAGTGTGGGAGGTTCCACACCCAGTACCGCTGCTTCTCCCGCCTTGACGACGCTTGGCGTGAGGAGATGGGCGAGGAGGTTGAGCGCCCCCGCTGGGCTGATCTGATGAGGGCTGGTGTTGATATCTTTGCTCTTGATTATGATGCTATTATTGCTGCCATGTATGCATTGACTGTTAGTGCTGAGGGGGACTGTTACTTGTGTGTGCCGCCTGACCCAGGTATAGAGCCCACTGCCCTAGGTACCAGCGAGTCTGCTCTCTCAGGTACTGTGCCTTCCGAGGCTACTCCCTTCGGTACACCCCCTCCTGCTAGCGAGTCTGCGCTCTCAGGTACTGCGCTCGCTGAGGCCTTGCACACCTTCACGCTTGACTCAGGTGCTTTCCGCTGCTTCTTTCGTGACAGTACTGAGCTCACTCCCCTCCCTGCACCAGTTCCAGTCTCCCTGGCTGACCCCTCCGGGGGTCCAGTTCTTGCACGGTCTACCACTGTGCTTCCCTGTCCGGCGGTTCCGTCTGGCTCGTCGTCGGGTTTCCACCTCCCCTCGTTCTCTACGAACTTGGTGAGCACCGCTGTTATCTAGGATCACTGGGTTGACACCTTCACCCCTGGAGGACAGCGTGTGGCGATCTGTACGTGCTCCAGGACTGGCCGTCACCTGGCTACGTTCACTCGTCAGCCGGGGTCGAGTCTCTACACACTGACCACTGCGTCTCCTCAGGTCGCTGCTGTTGGTCAGGTGTCTGCGTCAGGTCTAGTAGCCCACCCCTGTGAGTGTCCCTCCCTGTCGCACCAGACCCTTCTCTGGCACCACCGCCTGGGTCACCCCTCCTTGCAGCGCCTTCGTGGCATGCACCGTCGTCACCTTGTGTCCGGTCTTCCCCGGTCTCTCCCTCCCCTCCCTGCCTCGCCTGCGCTGCCTTGCCTTCCTTGCGTCGAGGGGCGGCAGCGCGCCGCTCCTCACTCCTCCTCGTTTCCCCCGACCGAGGCTCCTCTGCAGACCCTCCACCTGGACGTGTGGGGCTCGGCCTGCGTCCGTAGACAGGGCGGTGAGCGGTACTTTCTGCTGGTTGTCGACGACTACTCGCGTTACACCACGGTCTTCCCCTTGCGCACCAAGGGTGAGGTCCCTGCTGTTCTGATCCCTTGGATCCGCACAGTTCGTCTCCAGCTCCACCGCCGGTTCGGGACAGAGCTTCCTGTCCTGCGTCTGCACTCTGACAGATGTGGTGAGTTCTCCTCTGACCTCTTGAGGGCCTTCTGTCAGGCGGAGGGCATCGAGCAGTCCTTCACGCTTCCGGACTCCCCGCAGCAGAATGGGGTTGCAGAGCGCCGCATTGGCCTGGTCATGGAGGTCGCTCGTACCTCCTTGGTTCATACGGCGGCTCCCCATTTTCTGTGGCCGTTTGCTGTCCGGTACGCGGCGCATCAGCTCAACCTCTGGCCCCGTGTCTCCTTGCCGGAGACCTCGCCCACACTGCGTTGGACGGGGGAGGTCGGCGATGCGTCGCGCTTCCGGGTGTGGGGCTCTCGTGCCCTTGTCCGCGATACTTCCGCGGACAAGCTCTCCTCCCGCACACTTCCCTGTGTCTTCCTTGGCTTTGTCCCTGACGCGCCAGGCTGGCAGTTTTACCACCCCACCTCGTGCCGGGTCTTCGCCTCTCAGGACGTCACCTTTGACGAGTCGGTTCCTTTTTACCGTCTCTCCCCCTACCGCACTGCCCCCCTCCCCCCCCCGCCGCTTTTCCTTGCTCCAGGTCCCCCTCCGGTCGACCCCCTTCCCCCTCAGGGTCCTGCTCCTTCAAGTGTCTCTCAGGTAGACCCTCCTCCCGTCGCTGAGCCTGTCGAGGTCACAGGTGACTCAGGTGATGCTGCGGGTGGTGCTGCTAGGGGTGCTGAGCCTGGGGGTGCTGAGCCTGGGGGTGCTGAGCCTGGGGGTGCAGAGCCTGGGGGTGCTGGGCCTAAGGGTGCGGAGCCTGGGGGTGCTGGGACCGTGGGTGCGGGGCCTGGGGGTGCTGTGCCTCGAGTTGCTGCGTCTGGGGGTGCTCAGGGTGTTGAGTCGCCTCTTCGGGAGCCTCTCACACAGCGGCAGCTCCGTGAGTGGTACGTTCGGCGCCGTCTTCCGCGTGGTGCAGCTGGAGCTGGAGGCACTGAGACTGGGGACACTGGTGCTGGAGGTTCTGGCGGTGCTGCAGCTGCTGGTTCTGGGGGTGCTAGTCCTGGAGGTACTGCGGCTGCCGGAGCTGGTGGTTCTGGAGGTCCTGAGCCTGGTGCCACTGGAGCTGGGGACACTGGTGCTGGAGGTACTGGAGGAGCTGGTTCTGCTCGTTGTCGCGGTGCTCCGTCTGAGGGAGCTGAGCCTGTGCTTGAGGGGTCTGGGTGTGCTGCGTCTGGGGGTGCTGAGTCTGGGGGTGCGTCGCCAGTAGAGGCTGCGCCCTGGACTGGCCGCCTTCGTTCGCGTGTTCCTCTCACCTCCCAGCAGCTGCACGACTGGTTCGGTCGCCGTCAGCGTCGCCCTCCTGGAGCTCCGGGCTCTACTGCTGGTGGTGCCTCTACTGCCGCCCCTGGAGCTGAGAGTGGAGCTGGTTCGTTGTCTCCTGGAGGTACTCCCGTCGCTGGTCCCGGAGGTGCTCGTACCGCTGGTACTCGAGCTGCTGGGGCTGGTGGTGCTGTGTCTGAGGGTGCTACCGCTGGGGACGCTGCGACTGGAGACCCTGGGACTGGAGGTACTGGTTCTGGGGGTGCTGCAGCTAGTGGGGACAGTCCTGGAGGAGCTGACACTGGGGGTGGTGGTGTCGCTGGAGGTGCTGGAGCTGCTGGTGCTGGCGGTACTGTACAGTCGCGCCTGTTCTTCGCTCCGCCGTCGCCGTCGTCTCTGCCGCCGTCTGACTCTGTCCTTCGCCAGGTTCTTAGTCTTCCGTCTTCTACTGGTCTTCCGTCACTGCCTGGCTCGCCCTTGCCTGCTCCTTCTCCTTACACTGAGCAGTCAGGGGGTCTTACTGAGCGTCGTGAGCCTGCGTCGCGTCCTGTCTCGCCTGTTCGTTCTGGTCGTTCCGATCGCCGCGTCTCGCACCAGCGTTCGCCGACTGTTGCAGGTTCTCGCCTTGTCGTCCGTCGTCCCTCCTCTGTCCCACAGCCGGTTCCTCTGCCGTCTCCTCCTGCGTCTTCTTTGCCTGACGTTCCGGACCCTGCGTCTGACCGTTTTCGTGCTGAGCACCCTACCGTCACGCGTCTGTTAGCCACTGCTGTCACTGACCCGTCTTTTGAGTCGGCTGCTGCGTCGGCCCTGGTCGTTGAGCTGGTTGACTTTGCTGCTGTCTGTCGTCTAGACTACACTGCCAGTCTTATTACCGAGTCTGAGTCTGTCTGTCCTCCGTCCGTCGGGGGTGAGTGTGCTCTTGGCACGGACGTCCTTGAGGACAGGCAGGAGGACTTTGAATCTCTTGCGGCTGCTGTACCTCATCTCGTGGCCTGGCTGCTTGCCCCTGAGGGAGACCCGGATGCACTAGACATCCCCACTCTGCGCTCTTACGCAGAGGCGATCTCGGGTCCCTACTCCTCTCAGTGGCAGACAGCCATGGACGCAGAGATGGCATCCTGGAAGTCCACAGGCACCTACGTCGACGACGTTCCCCCTCCAGGGGCGAACATCGTCGATGGCATGTGGATTTTCAGGGTGAAGCGGCCGCCGGGTTCTCCGCCTGTCTTCAAGGCTCGTTACGTTGCTAGAGGTTTCAGTCAGCGACAGGGAGTTGACTTCTTTCAGACCTTCTCCCCCACCCCGAAGATGACCAGTCTTCGGGTGTTGCTGCACGTTGCTGCTCAGCGTGACTACGAGCTGCACTCTCTTGACTTCAGCACAGCTTTCTTGCAGGGCACCCTCCACGAGGAGATCTGGCTGCGCCGCCCTCCTGGCTTCACTGGGTCGTTCCCTCCTGGTACCCAATGGAGCCTTCGGCGGCCAGTCTACGGTCTCCGCCAGGCGCCGCGCGAGTGGCACGACACACTGAGGACTACACTTGCGGCCCTTGGGTTTGCTCCTTCCACTGCTGACCCGTCACTGTTCCTGCGCACAGACACGTCGCTGCCGTCGTTTTACATCCTCGTGTACGTCGACGACTTGGTCTTTGCTACTGCTGACACTGAGGCACTCGCTCGTGTGAAGTCGGAGCTGCAGAAGAGACATACCTGCACTGACCTGGGTGAGCTGCGCAGCTACCTTGGCCTGCAGATCACCCGGGACAGAGCACGCCGCACCATCACCTTGACTCAGTCACACATGGTGCAGCAGGTCCTTCAGCGCTTCGGCTTCCAGTTCTCCTCACCACAGGCCACACCTCTGGCTACCAGTCACTCGCTCTCAGATCCACCTTCGGACGAGTCCGTAGAGCCGAGTGGCCCGTACCCAGAGCTTGTAGGCTGCCTCATGTACTTGATGACTTGCACGCGACCTGACCTTGCGTACCCTCTTAGCATCCTTGCTCGTTACGTTGCGCCTGGGAGACACAGGCGAGAGCACTGGGAGGCTGCTAAGAGGGTGCTGCGCTACTTGTGCAGTACATCAGGCATGGGGCTGGTGCTTGGAGGATGCGACAGAGTTGCCCTCACTGGTCACTCAGACGCTTCTTGGGTGGACGACCTGGCTACGCAGCAGTCGTCACAGGGTTACACTTTCAGCCTTGGCTCTGGTTCTGTCTCTTGGCGGTCCACCCGCTCTTCTTCTGTTCTCAGCTCTAGTTGTGAGGCTGAGATCTACGCCACGGCCATGGCTGCACAGGAGTTACGCTGGCTCACCTACCTGCTGACTGACTCGGGAGAGCGGCCTAGTTCTCCTCCAGTTCTGTACGGAGACAACAAGGCGGCCATTGCCTTGTGTCAGGAGCACAGACTGGAGCACAGAACGAAGCACATTGCTCTTCGCTACTTTCTTGCTCGAGAGCTGCAGCAGCGTGGTCAGCTTCGTCTTGTGTACGTGGACTCGAAGGCCAACACTGCTGATGTCTTCACCAAGGCGCTTCCGCCTAGTGATCATCAGCGGCACTGTATTGCGTTAGGCCTTGTGTCCACATTACCTCATTTGCTTGCTGCTTGACTTTCTTTGTACTGTGATTTATATATATCGCTGCTTGCTTGCTAGGTTGTGATCACTGTGTTGCTTGTCTTGGTCTATATATACCTATATAGCTCTGCATGTGAACTGGCCTTGTGGTCTTTGCTTGTGTTCAGAGTGTGGTGACGTTGTGATCCACCCTGGGCTTGCTTTGCTTTGCTGGACTGGTCTTGTGACCCTTTGTTCTCCCCCACTTTGCCTATGGGGGTGTGTTAGATTATATGCAATGTGTTGGTAGGCTGTAGTGGGGTAGGCAATATAGTGTACAACCCATTAGGGTTAGGTACTTGTACTCTTGTTCCTTTTCAATGCACATCATTCTTGCCTAGCATCTTGACATGTGGTCCCCACTGCTGAGTGGGCGTGCTTCCCAGGAGCAGCTGATGCCTCGTGTTCCTGGCAGGGGCCGAAGGGTCGGCCCTCCGAAATCACGCAAAAGGGTTGGCCGCGTGTCCCAGTGCCAGCCTGGGCCT